TCTCTCGTTGATACGAACTGCACCGCCCGGGAATCGAACCCGGACCATCTGCTTGGAAGGCAGATATCCTAACCATTAGACTAGCGGTGCACATCACTTATGTAGTGATTGAGTATCCTGTGATACTTGTAGAGGGACATCTGAATCCCTTCTCGGACGTACCGTCGTCAACCATCCCGCGGCCAAGAGTCTGATTAGGCCTTAAACGCGTACCTGAGATCGCGAACTGCTACTATATCTCTCCCATGGTAGGCCGCATTCTATCTCGGTTGATAACTCCAACTGGTAAGGTTCTCATCGCATACTACAGCTAGCTCGGCACAAGCTGCACAACTTTTTCGTGACATCGAAGTTCCTGCTTGCAAGCACATTTTGAAACCGCATGCGGCGGCTCGTGAATTTGGGCTGTTGTTTCATCTCCGCAACGCGTTCTGAGGTACCGGGCGGTCATTCATCATTCCTGCAAGGAGTTCTGCTCTAGGTGGATAGCTCTTTTCTATGCACGGACAACGCTTTATTAACGTTGTTTTTCCCCTGGACTGGCACGGTTGGGCCAACCGCACGGAATGGTACGAAAACACCGACTCTGTTTAGTGGAAATTTTTCGGTAAGACTGAGCTATGCAGTCGATAAGCTGCACCTCTCAGTTTAATAACCATCTCGAGTGTATTCTGATGAATAGCAGCTCCTTGTTTCGATCAAGGGACCTTTGGGTTATGAGCCCAACACGCTATCCACTGCGCCAAGCTGCTCATGCGTACAAACTCCTGTATCGCCCTGACGTGCTGAGCATAACTGTTCCACGATAGAATAGAGACTCTTCTCTCGTTGATACGAACTGCACCGCCCGGGAATCGAACCCGGACCATCTGCTTGGAAGGCAGATATCCTAACCATTAGACCAAGAGTGGGGGGAATAATCCAGAAAACAAGGGGGGAAAAGAGAAAAAAGAAGAAAAAAGGGGAAAGAAGAGAAGAAAGAAGGGGAGAAAGGAAGAGGAGAGAGGAAGAAGAAAGAGGAAGGGACGAGAAGGGGACGAGGAAGAAGAGAGGAGAGGAAGGGAGGGAATTGAGTGATTCCTGCCCAAATCATACGAATACCAGGTCAAAACTGCGTATTAACGAGGTGACCAAGTAGCGCGCGCCCAGAAATGCATACGAGTTGTCAATTCTGCCCCTGACGTTCATACTGAAGGTAACATATGGTCAGGGTATGGATTCGACCAGAAAGCTAGAGATAAACCTGTACAAGTCGCAATGTAGACTACCTTGGATGCTTCATTGGTTTCCCGCGACGCGGGACCCGCGTGCGCACTCCTTCGACGTTGGTTCCTGCGACGGCCCTTCTCTTCAGCTCTTCTAGCCTTCAACTCAACGAGCTCAACCACTCTGTCTTTGGAGAGCTTTTCCGCCAAAGAACAGTAGTTTAACTGGCGGAATTCTTCATCGCAAAAGGTCTCAGTCTGCACAACGCCTTTTAGCCGATGGGTCATGCTTGACCTGGACGTGCTCAGCAGCTTCCTGGACGTGCTTAGCAGCTTAGCGTGCTTCATGCTTAACCCTTTCCGTGAACATGGCGGCATTCGAGTCTGGAGGGGGCTTCGGATCGAGAGGACACCTTTCAAATTTACTTCCGTCCTTCTCGTGATCGTTGAAGGCGCGACCAATAGTCAATGGCTTGTCACAAAACTTACAGACTCCTCGGACATGTTCAACTCCAACCTTGGCTGCACTGCTAGTAGCCGTAGCCTCCTTCGGAACGGCAATCTTTTCCATTTTCCGCTTGCCTCTTAGCTTCAGTTCCTTGCTCACTTCAACAACGGTGACAGGCGTAGGTCCACCACTCAAAGGCATCCCCATAGTTGAAACTTCTGCACGGGGCGCTTCCTCAAAATACATCGTCCGGCTGCAACCACTGATCCATCTCCACCATGGCTTCCACACCCCGAACAGTGGGAGCGACTGACGGTATGGGTTGCGGTGTGTGAGCCCTTGAGCCAACAAAATTTGCGTTTCGCCTGACCACTCTAAGCAGCTGTTTGGGACCTGCTCCTTTCCGCCAGTCTTCGACGAGAGAGTATTATTTCCTCAAAGCCTGTTTCTCAGTGAGCATTGCACAAGACAGAGCAAGAAGATGGAAAAGAGAGAATTTAATGAGATTAATTGGCGAGCGCTAGAGTAATCGACCCCCACCATTTAAGCACGGTCACCCACCTTGATGGTGGGTGACAGAAAAGAAAAATATGAATGGCTCACGGAATGAGGAAGCTTCGCCTACAAAAAAGGCAGTAACACAACGATAGAGATGGAAGAGGAA